CAATATACAATAAAGTAATATAAGCTGGTGTTTGTACAGCCTGAATAAAGTTAAGACTAATTATGGCTTACTTTCCACTAATTTCATTATTTATTGGTTTGTCAAATATAGTATCTACAAACCAAGATATATTTAGCTTAAAAGGTACCAAGAAATCTTACATTTGCAGTGAATGCAACTGTCACTAGTATAATAACCAGTGCTATGATTTTTGTGTTTCACATAATTACTCAGAAGACTCCATATTAAGCTAAACTTTTATAAGATTTTACCAAAATATTAAAATTACTTAAAGGTATATTGCTTTTGGTCTGTCCCATAGCAGTACATATAAAAGAAAGGAAGACTAAGTGATTTTTAAGACATGTAGTATACAATTAGGACAATGTGTTTCCCTTGTTGCATATTTTAATTCTATAAACAATCACAGCACTATTTTTGAAAATAAAGTGGGAACTGAACCTTTTCTTTAAAAAAAAAAAGAAGAAAAAGGCACCAAAATTACTAGTTTTTTTTTAAAAAAAAAAAAATCTTAGGTATACCCAGTCAACTCCCTTTAATTAAAACAGCTGATGAACACTTCCATAAAGTACTGTTTAGTGGGGCTGGAGATATGGCTCAGCAGTTAAGAACACTGACTGCTCTTCCCGAAGACACAAGTTCAACGCCTAGCACCCACATGGCAGTTCACAACTATCTGTAACTCCCAAGATCTGACACCCTCATACAGACATACATGCATGCAAAACACCAATGCACATAAAATATAAAGAAATAAATTTAAAGTGCCGTTTAGAGATTTAAGGATGAGAACTTATACCAGTTCCCTCCCCCTGCTCTACTTTGGTCGCACCTTATCGGGGCCTGAATGCAGCATTACCTGTGCTGTTTCCCCCACTTTAATGATTTTGTCTTTCCCTAAAAACAGTCTCTGCTTAAACAGCTAAGTGGGTAAGATACAGTAAAAGCTCCAACTGATTGAAAGCGAGCAACTGTTAAAGGTTAAACAGAACTTTGCAAAACCAAGCAGGCCAGGAGTGGTGACACACATCTCTGCACTTCAGCTCCAGCATGGGGGAGTCAGAGGAAGCCTTGTCTACACTGATGTGGGAGAGTCATATATCAATCTGTTGATTTCATTGGTTAAGTTATAATAAACCAACTGCTTGGCCTCAGCTTAGAACATAGATGGGAGGAGTAAACAGAATAGAATTCTGGGCGGAAGAGGAAGTGAGGTCAGACTCTGCTCTGCTCCCAGAGAGACCGGACAGCTCTGCTGGAGCAGAGACGCCATGCTCAGCTCTCCCAGGCAGCTGCAACCCAGGATGGACTTAGGCTAGAATCTTCCCGGTAAGCGCACCTTGGGGTGCTTACACACATCATTAGAAATGGGCTAGTCCAGATGCAAGAATTGGCCTGTAAGGGCTAGAGCTCATGGGCCAAGCAGTTCTTAAATGAATACAGTTTGTGTGTTGTTATTTCGGGCATGAGCTAGCCAAGCGGCTGGGGTGTTGGGGACGCAGCCCCGCCGCTTCTTATTTCAACACTACACAGCAAGTTCCAGATCAGCCAGGGCTACATATTAACACCCTGTCTCGGCAACAAACAACAAAAACAAAACTAAGTTGGTAAAACAATTTTCTGTATATAACTAGTTCCATTCATTTGAGAATCAAAAAAAAAAAAACCTAAAAATTCAATACTCTGGTGACATAGAAAAAAAAGGGGGGGATCCTGAATTTCTTTATATTTAAAAGAGACAGAAGTTATAGGAAGAGGGATATAAAAAAATGAGCAGGATAAACTGTCACAATCTCAAATAGAAACTATAGACAAGAATCAAGTGAAGCAACAAATGAGAAGACTGAATGGGTTCAGTTATTTGTTTTACCAATTCAACAACGAGCAACTTCTTAAGTTACTGAAGGGGTAGAAAAGACACTATTCCAAACTGAAAGCTGTATGTGGGAGTGTGAGGTCTGTGTTTTACAACACTATGTTAGATTATGCTACTTTTACAAAAATATTTAGGTTTGATAGACTAATAATATTAAAATCTGAAAACTATATTCTCTATCTTTTAGGTCAACACCAAAAATAAATATGGAATGCTATTTCACACAGCACTTTTGAGTCTCTCCAACAGAATGCACCTTTATTTTTATGTTCCCTGGTGTTTTGCCTGAATGTATGACTGTGAGAGGGTGCCAGAAGCCCTCAAACTGGAGTTACAGACAGGTGTGAGCTGCCATGTGGGTGCTGGGAATTGAGCCTGATCCCCTGGAAGAACAGACAGTGCTCTCAACTGCTGAACCATCTCTCCAAGACCCACAACATACATTTAAACTTGGATAAATAAGTCAAACCAGTACCCTATTTTAAGACGCCCTTGACAGAGGATGATGCCCTGTGGCTTCAACCCATTGATCTGTCAATGCAATGGTCAATCTTTGCTTATCTGCCAAATGCAACTCAGACCACAATACTGCTCTGGCTCAAGGACTTAAAACCCAGGTTGGCAAATAACATGCTCCACCCAAATACAATGGGTGCCATATTCTGGTCATGAAAACTACCTAAACACCTACAGAACATGAGGATCAATTATCAAAGATTAATCATGATACTTTCCCCATTGGTATAGGTCAAAATCAGCTGATGAGCATTCACTCAAGTGTCTGAGTTATGGCTGTGCCTGATACTAAGGTTAAAAAGAGAAGCAGGACAGAGTCCTTGCCTCCCAGAAGAGCCAGAGAAGTAGCCGGACTTGAATACAAAGACAGCTGCAGCCCTAACAAGCTTGTTACTGCTAAGAGGCTAGGAGTCCATAAACAAATACCAACTGTCTGCTTTGTTCTGTTCTGTCTTGAGGGCTGGACAAGAATTCCAGGAAGGCTGTCTATAGGTGAACAGAAATGAATGTAATACCGAGAAAAGGCAGCTTTGCAAGGCAGGAAGCAGAATGGGAAAAAAAAAAAAAGTATCTTAAAACTTAGTGTAAACTTAGGTATCACAGATATTTCAATAAGGATATTTCACCTTAATGTTGAAAAGTTGACATTTAATGAAAGGGTCTACAACTGAGGAGCAACAAAGCTGGAACCAGGGTCTGAGTTCATTTTTACCTAGCTATTTAAAACTGGTTACCATCTCCCAAAAGAAGTCAATTAAAGACTGGCGGGTTGGTGTGTGTGTGTGTGTGGTGTAGGTGTGTATGTGTATGGTGTGTGTGGTGTGTGTGTGTACGTGCGTGTGTGTGTGTATGGTGTGGGTGTGTATGTGTATGGTGTGTGTGGTATGTGTGTGTGTGTGGTGTGTGTGTGTGTACATGCGTGTGTGTGTGTGTGGTGTGGGTGTATATGTGTATGGTGTGTGTGTGTACATGCGTGTGTGTGTGTGTGGTGTGGGTGTGTATGTGCGTGCCCAGAAGTCAAGGCAGAAGGATCACTAGTGGTCTGACACAATTCTAATTTAGCAGGTGTTTGTTAGATGAAGCCCAGATGAGACTGTCAAGAGCTAGTTCAGTTCACTGGGGGAGCACTTGCTTAACACGCACAAGACCAGAGAATATGATACCCAGAACATCAAGAAAAAAAGAATTTAAAGAAAATAATGTTTTATAAACTAATGAGATGTGTATTGACTCTAAAAATAAAACTCTTTGGGTTTGCATGATATACACCTTTACATTTACTGACAGTCTTTTAAATACTAAAAAGAGCACAGCACCTTTATCTTGCTTTAATCTTTAATAAGTCCTTCCTAATAGGAAGTTAAAAATTTAGTTTTGTAAAATGCTGCATTAGCTGGGTGAGAAAAAACAAACTCTGACACAGAAATGACTAAAATTTGGGAATACCAGTATCAGTATCTGTCAAAAGCTGGAGAAATAAACTTAGGTACAACAAGTAAGGGAGAACAATCAGCAAAACATTTGTAAAAGGACAGTGACAGAAAACAGAGGAATGGCAAGTCACCGGACAGACAGACCAGAGCAGCAAGTTGCCTTTAGGGAGAATTTGGGGAGAAAGGAGAGTCCAGAATTAAAAGCAAACTATTTAAGGCACAATAAACTTCTACAACTGACATATGATATATAGGCAGTAAATATCTGTTAATTATTATGGTATATTCAGTTACAAAAAGATGGAGAAAACAACAGGCGAAGGTGTGTATTTTATAGAATGTAGCTCTGTTGATAATTAAGGGGAAAAAGGGAAAACAACAAAACAAACTTCGGGCCAAGCAGGCGGCTCAGGATGCAAAGATGAGAAGATGCCCAGCACCACAATCCTGACCCGCACAGTGGACACTCCATGGCACATATGCACGCTGCCCCCAAACACACACAAGATAAAATGTGGGAGACAAAACAAAACAAGGTAAGTGAGAAACAGTATCAGACACAAAGCCTACTATTGGAGCTGTTCCTCACCTTGGAGTGAACCCTGGTCACCTACTGTGAGTGAGTTTTGTAGGCCCTGTTACTTCCACACCAGAATCCAAGTGTGACCTGGCTCTAGCCCAAAGCTAGTGACTGAGGCCAGGCACTCACTCAGGGTGTTACCTAACAGCATTATCCGCAAGGGTTTGTCAATAGCTTCAGTTGTTCATACAACAAGGGTTAAAAACTCCAAGACAAAGCACTCACTCTTGAAAGATAATACAAATTCAAAAAAGTTAAAATATATTGGATCTATTTTTTTTTAATTTCACCAGATAGTAAAGTTAACAGAGAAAGAACATTATTTTAAATAAAAGAAATGCTGACATTGTGGTATCCGTTATAAACTGAAATATATTCCAAATAAAACATTCCATAATTTATGTCAAATTTTCAAATATTTTTTCTAAAGATTAGACCATTTAGCCAGTTATCCAACTAGAAAAATATAAACTTGTGTTGTAAATCAAATGAACAAGATCCTAACTGTTCATGAGACAGCCTAGTTCCACCAGACACACTAAAGCAGCAAATCCTGATGCACTCAGCTCCTTACCTGCAGCTCCTTGGAGACTCGTTCTAAGTGACTGGTTATCTTTTTAATCAGGTCACTGTACATCTGTTCCGAGTGCTGCTGGCACACACACTTATATACACAGCTGCAAGAAGGAACAGGCACAGACACCAAGTCAATGAAGAAGCATTCCCGGCAATCTAATGTTAAAGTACACTTTCAAAATAAAACTCAACTTATAACAGGTGATCAACCAAAAACTGAAAGAAAAATCTACCCTCCCCATTCAGTGTTCTGATGGAAAGGACACTGCCAATTAACTTCAAATGACCTGGATAGTACACATGAAATAGGCATGAGATAATCCAAAATGAGGATCTGAATGTGCTAACTCCTTGTAAGTCAGCTTTTCTCTCTTTTTTAAAATACTTGTCAAAATGAGAAAGAGAACGACAACTAGAAGAGAGACGGTTTCTGACTTACAAAGGTGTTTGCAATACGTCCTCCTGTACACCAGTCGTGGGGAATAGCACAGCTGTCACTTCTTCCTGTCGCTGTGCTGATCTCATTTCCCACCCCAGTTCCTAATCTACTGCTTCCATTGATTGACTAAGAACTAGGTACAGTTAGAGCTGATATCAGTCAGCATCAACAGGGCTAACTAGGACCTCCCAAACAGAACTGATATCAGTCAGCATCAACAGGGCTAACTAGGACCTCCCAAACAGAACTGATATCAGTCAGCATCAACAGGGCTAGCTAGGACCTCCTAAAAGCCATGCATTTTTACAGCAGACACTCCACTAGCTTCTCTCACTGGCCTTGGAGATTTTTCATTGTATATGACAGAGACAGGCAAGCAGAGGTAGAAGTTAATAGTGTGGTCTACTAGATCTATGCTGACATGAAAACCACTTCTGAACCAAACATCCAGTTCACCAGTGTGGAGAATATACACGTCCAACGTCATCTAATATACTTTATATACCACATTCATGTTGTCAGCAAACAAAATCCATCCAAACCCACACAAATTAGTCACTTACCTGTAAATCTGTTCATAGGATATAGGTATATAGTCACCAGGACTCTGGGTTAAAAGTTGGTCTATGGCACCATCTAATTTTGGCCAGTATGTGCTCTTATAATCCTCGATTGTTATGACATTCATCACTACAAATAGAAGTAAAATAAACATTACTATGTGCCACACATAAATTACAAATCATAGCAAGTGTATACACATTCAAAATCTGTCCTTCCATTACTTACCCAACCTCTATCAGTTTTTAAACAGAAGAGAAAGTTAGAAGATGGAGGCAGAGGCAGGCAGGTATCTGAGTTCTAGGAAGCCTGATCTATATAGTGAGCTCTGAGACAGTGCAGTGACACTCTCAAAAAAGATGGGGGAACTGAGGGGGACACAGGAGAAAGAGAGATGAGATGGGGAAGAGAATGAACCGAAGAGAGAGTGAAAGCACACACACACACACACACACACACACACACACACACACACACACACGAACGAACTAGTCAGGAATGCTAAGCAGTCATTGGCTGCTTTCCCAATATGCTATAAGCTTCTATCATCAGTGAAGCATTCTCAAAAATATCCTGACCCTCAAATACATATTGTCACAATTATGTGACATAATGAGCCATCAATGAACTACAAGAAGGTTCCAGGAACTATAGCCTTTCATAATTAATCTTTATAGACATCCCTGGGCGGGGAGGGGATCTATCTAATGACTGAACTACAGGGCTGGAGATTTAAACAACACTGTAGTTTCCCAAAAGAGGATCCCACAAAATGTACTGACATTTTTGGTATCACAGTGCCATTCAGACGTACCTAGAATTCGACAAGACCAAGGAAAAAAAGACAGTGACCTAGAGACCTTACAATGAAGGGTCACTTCATTTCAATGGACAAACTCAAACCCTCATCACGAATCCTTTCAAGGCCTTAGCAAGCTGTTCCTAAGTTCAGGGGTAACACGTGCTTTACAATAAGATGCTAAAGTGCCGGGCGACGGTGGCGCACGCCTTTAATCCCAGCACTCGGGAGGCAGAGCCAGGCGGATCTGTGAGTTCGAGACCAGCCTGGTCTACCGAGCTAGTTCCAGGACAGGCTACAAAGCCACAGAGAAACCCTGTCTCGAAAAACCAAGAAAAAAAAAAAAAAGATGCTAAAGTTAAATAAGTTACCTAAGGATTTCTAGATACCCAAGAAGATAAGAGGTAACAACTTCCAGATCAAGTATTTTACTGCTCATTTTGCCAAAACCTGGGAAGCAAGGAAGTTAACTGGCTTCCTCCAGAATACATGGCTAATTCCAGACAAAGAGGCCAGGCCAGGAAAAGCCTTATTATCATATTCCTAACATCTAACCTTAACCATTAAGGATATATATAAAATACACCACTGCTATCATTATTATTCAATTTTCTATAAATCATTTTACTTTTAGTGCCATAAAATACAAGCCAAAGGGCACTTAAAGAATGACTTGCTGACTCTTAAGACAACATGGTAATTTGTTTTCCCTTTTTGAGACAGGGTCTCATGTAGCCCTCAAACTAACTCCAATGTAGCCACGGATGACCTTCAACTCCTGCTCTTCCTGCCTCTACCTCCCAAGAGCGGGACTATAGCTTATGCCAACACATTCAGTTTTAGTATACCATTAACCTTAAGTACATTTTGTAAATAAGGCTCAGTATAATACTCATCTAGTATATGAGAAGCCCTGGGTCCAGTTACCAAAACTATGGGGTTGAGGGCAGTGCTAGATGTAAGAAGCATAATCAAAAGTCTCCATGCATATAATATTAACATAGGTGAAAATGTAAGGATAAAAACATATCACTGATTGCCAGATTTGTCAATAAGAAAAAGGCGTATCTATAAAGGGCCAACAGGGAGATTGTTAGGCAATGAGGTGCTTTGTATGGAATTGAAATGACAATATGCCACTCTATTTGTGTCAGAACCAAAGGAACTGTGCACCATACAATGAATCAGCAAGGCTATAGGTTAGGAACTGTGCACCATACAATGAATCAGCAAGGCTATAGGTTACAGATGCAGAAATGAAATGGAAACCTGACAAGTCTAATGACAAATGAATCACAGAGACAACAATAAAGGGTAGAGGTTTGCCTAGCATATATTAGACCCTGGATTCGAATCTCCACATGGGGTGGGGGGTATGGCAATTCTCCTAAAGACTTAATATTATAAATCTGCTTTTAGGAAATTTAACTCAGTGGCTGACAACTCACCTAGCATGTATGAGGCAAGTTCAATACCTATTACTTCTGATTAGAAAAAAAAGTGTCTCATATTAAAGCCTGACATAGTGGTGCACACCTGCAATCTTAGCACTTGGCAGGCTAAGGAAGGGGGATAGCCAAATTGCATAGTATGCATAAGGCCAGCCTAGAATGCATGGTGAAAAATTCCATCAAGGAAGGAAGGATGGAGGAAGGGAGGGAGGAAAGGAGGGAGAAAGGGAGGGAAAAGAATGAAAAGCAAATAAACCAGAAGGTGTGAGTTCACAAAGAGAAATTCCAATTCAAAATAAAACTGTGTGATTCTCCAAACAACTGCCACAAAGATGAAACCTCAAAATACTTACAGGGAAGAGATCAAACTCACAACCAGACTCCTATCTCAAAGGTAGTTAAATAGACCCTACTGCAATCAAATGAAACTAAGTCTAGAGCACAAACAGCTGGAACCTAGGGCTTGGGAGATACTATATACAACATCATGGGGAAGGCAGTTTGTCATTGGAACTGTGAGACTTCACTTGTCCTACTTAGTTAGGGTTTCTATAGCTGCTACGAAACACCATGACCAAAAGGCAAGTTGGGGAGGAAAGGGTTTTATTCAGCTTACACTTCCACAGTGCTGTTCACCACTGAAGGAAGTCAGGACAGAAACTCAAATAGGGCAGAAGCTGATGCAGAGGTCGTAGGGGGTGATCCTTACTGACTTGCTTCCTGGCTTGCTCAGCCTGCTTTCTTACAGAAACTAGGACCACCAGTCCAGGGACGGCACCACTCACAGTGGGCTGGGCCCTCTCCCAATGATCACTAATTGAAAAATTGCCTCTCATGGAGGCATTTCCTCAATTGAGGCTTCTTCCTTCCTGACAACTTTAGCTTATGGCAAGTTGGCACACAAAACCAGCCAGTACACCACCTTAGACCTGATCAGAGCTCTGGAGTCAGAAGAGACCCTAGAATCTGTTCAATATTCTCTTCCCAACCGACCCTCAAGACTGCTCAAGTTTGAGAACCACTGGCCCACACACACAGTACAATGTAGCCAGAGAAGGTAACATTCATTTTCTTCTCTGGATTGCTAGTAAGGGGTCTGTCATCTTTGCACTGTGGTCAATGAAATGTATAAATATATCAAAGACAATATTGAAAGAGCAGGCAGAAGTGCTTTCATGCAAACTCATCAAAGTTCCACATGGTACCCCTATTCCCCATCAAGAAAGCTAGCTTATAGTATTGATTCTCTGACTTGCTAATGACAATTTTAAAATAAGCCAAGCTTAGCAAACTAAATTACATCTGAAACATAGTTGGTTTTTTAATTAACTATTGGTGTAGGAAGTCCTTCTGCATATATGTTGCTTTTATTGGTTAATGAATAAAGAAACTGCCTTCACTTGTGATAGGGCAGAGTAGAGCTAGGCAGGGAAAACTAAACTGAATGCTCGGAGAAAAGAAGGCAGAGTCGAAGAGAAGCCAGGTAGCCCCACTGGAGACTGAGGCTGTATGGAACTTTACCGGGTAAGCCACAGCCAGGTGGCAATACACAGATTAATTGAAATGGGTTAACTAAAGATATAGGAGCTAGTTAGCAATACGCTTAAGTGATTGGCCAAACAGTGATTTAAATAATATAGTTTCTGAGTCATTATTTCGTGGTCTGGGCAGCCTCGAACAACAAACTAAGGACTAGGTACACTAAGGCTATTTGTGACAGAGACACGCATCTGCTCCTGGCAGTACTAATTTACTTCAAAAAAAAAAAATGATGATGGGCATCAAAGAACCTCTATATAGTTTGCTTTTGTTGTGACAAAGCTAGTCATTTGGAAAAGAAACTACCCTCTCCTTGACTGCTGACAGTATAGTGTTCAAATTGGACAAGCAGGACACAAAAAAAGCAACTGCCAAATTTTGCCCAGACAAGGTAGGACAGTCCTTCAAAATTCCCGCTTCATAGAAAAGTCTATTAGATATTAGGCCCATAGGCCAAAGTTGGATGCCCATCATTACAGAGGAACCCTGGGGTGACTGTCCAGACAGCCAGATGTCTGTCATTTTTTAGTTTTGGAAGTTGCTTGCTCTGCACTTCCTGTTTACTCAGATAATATTATATCCTTCCCAGGTCTCTGATGGGGTTGAAGATTAGTTATGTTATAGTTTTCCTTAGTTATGATGAAAAGTAAACTAGGTACAAAACTTTGGACTTACCAAGATATGATAGATAATATTTTCTCTGAATTTGCCAAAAACAAATGGACTGGACATTGTGAACATAATTCTTACTTGAAAATTTTTCCTATTGTATGTAATTTTACTCTATTAGAATTAAAACCTTTGCTTTTTATTTAAACAAAGGGGGAATTTTGTGGCATATTTGCACACTGTGTGAAAATGTGTCACTGTGACTGGTTTAATAAAGAACTAAATGGACAATAGGCAGGAAGAGGTTAGGCAGAATTTCCAGGAACACAGAGGACTCTAGGAAGAGGGCAGAGTTGCCAGGCAGACACAGAGGGCACAGGATGGGCAGTGCAGAATGAAGGTAACCAAGCCTCATAAAAGAACATAGATTAAAAGATACAGGTTAATTTAAGTTAAAAGAACTAATTAGGAACAAGCCTAAGCTAAGGCTGAGCTTTCATAATTAATAGTAAGTCTCTGGTTTGTTTGTTTGTGAGCTGGCAGCCCAAAGAAAAATCTGTTTACACCAGGTGAAATGGACCAGGCGAAAAACCAAAAAAATCAAAAAAAAAAAAAAAAAAAAAAAAAAAAAAGCCACTTGTTATCACAGTTTTCTCATCTCAGTAAAAAGCCAGTAAATGGCCTTACTCAAAACATAGTATCAGGCACAGCATTCTGCTCCCTCCATCAAAAGGGGTTGACTGAACTATTAAAGTACTGGACAGAGGAGCTGAAGGTCAAAAATTACACTTTCAGAGTGGGAAAGAAGTCCTTGGGAATAAGGGGAACAGACGGTCAGAACAAAAACAAGATGATGTATTCTAATAAACGAATGGGAGTATTTAAGAAGCAAAACCCTAGTTGTAAAGGGAAATAATTTTGCTAGGGTATAGCTTATTTATCTGGCAGAAGACTTGTCAGACAGGCACAAAGCCCTAGGTTTGATCCTCAGCATCACAGAAAGCATTAACTAGATGTGGTGGTGAATTCCTCCGACTTCAGCACTCCAGAAACAGGCAGAAGGATCATCTCAAAACAAAAAGAAAATAACTTGACACAGAACCGTAACACTTAGTTGTTACTAGGAGAACTGGCCAGTTTAAAAACAAAATCTATCCATTGTAAATAGTCTGTTCTGAGGAGAGAAAAGTCTAACTCTGAGCCACCGACTTGGTGATGTTTTGATTTGCCACTAGAAGAGAGCAGCTATCTGTATCTAGTGAAGCTGCATTTCTTTCTACCCAGACAAATTCTATGAAAAGGCTTTGGGTATTTGGGGACTTCTAAGTTTGGGGATTTGGAGACACTATTGAGAACTTAAAATGTCTACTGTGGATACTTATAAAGTCACTCTTCCCATAGGTTCTGAAGCTATTTTCACATAAACATATTACCAGATAACACTGGCATCTGGTTTTTATTAAGATCCTCATTAATACATTCCTTGGGTGTTCTACCCTACTCAACTGTCCACAAAGATACACTGGTCTAGATAAGGCTGCAGCAAGTCAGCTTCATGTGAAATGCTCTTCTCGACACTGGAAGGTTGTAATTAGCATTTCTGTTCTATTACTTAGAACCTATTTCTGCAAGAGGAATAGACTAGGAGAGTAGAGATGCCCCCAACAGAAGATAGGTTAAGAAACCAACACTAGTGCATTGGCTACTGGCAAGATGGAAATCTCTGTTCCTACAGAACAGTGTTGTCTGTGTCCTGCACAACACTGCTCTAAAATTCTACCATCACATTTCAACTTGAGACACAGCTGTGTACAAAAGCCCATCATGACAGCACATGTATGAAATGGTTAGGGTTATCATGACATCTATATGGTACCAACTCCAGCTAATTCAAACTCTCACCAAAGTAAAAAAGTATTTAAAATAGGAAATCTGTTCTCAACTACACTAACTACAAGTATATCACTAATTTAAAATTCTTAATTGTCTCCTAACATTTCAACAGGGTGATCACTCCTTAACACTAAAACCAAAAATGTCTGAGTTTTGAAGATGAAACAAAAACAGGTGTTGAGGTCAAGTCCTGATGTCGGATGTCTTTATATGTGTGTGTGTGTGTGTGTGTGTGTGTGTGCTGCTTTGTTGGTTGATGAATAAAACTGTTTCAGCCAATGGCTTAGCAGATTAAACTAGGCAGGAAGTTCAGAGAGAGAGAGAGAGAGAGAGGGGAGAGAGAGTGGGGGGGGGGAGTTGGAGTTGAGGACAGACATCATGTAGCCACTGAAGGAGATGCCAGAACATTACCAGTAAGCTACAGCCTTGTGGTGATGCATAGATTAATAGAAATGGGTTAATTTAAGATGTAAGAGCTAGCTAAGAATATGCCTAAACCATTGAACAAACAGTGTTGTAATTAATATAGTTTCTGTGTGATTATTTGGGGCTGGGCAGCTGGGAAACGAAAACACAGTCACCATTTACAAAGCCCCAGAGTAAAAGGAATGTTCAAGTCCAACCAGGAGAAATATACTTCTTCCTGCTCCACTCATCCCCCGCTCCCTCCTCAGGATGAAGATCCTTCTCTTGGAAACTGAGCATCCCAGAGAAAGACACTCATGTAGTAGCACCTGGCAGTTCTTCAACAGTAGTTCTCCATCCAATCAACCTAAAGTGAAGTCAACACTTAACAACTTAGCAAGGTCCCCTTCAGAGACCTGCTCAAGTCTCTTTCAATTTAAATATGAATAGACAGTAAAGGATGATCAAATTTCAGACATGAACAAAACAAAATATGACAAATTAAGAACAAAGGTAATTCAAAGGATAGAAGAAATCATTTTTTTTTAAATCTAGAATTACTATTCTCAAAAGGATACAATTAGAGCTGGTAAATGGCTCAAAGTGCTTACCAACAAGCCTAAGGGCCTGAGTCCAATCCTGGAATCTACCTGGTAAAAGGAGAAAAACAATTCCTGTAAGTTGTCCTCTGACCTCCCACATGTTACCATGCTAACACAAACACACACACAGAGGGAGTGTTATTTAAAAAAATAAGATACAATTAAAAACTGTCTTAGCATAGAAGCAATCCAGGTGCTTCTAAAGTTAAAAATACAGCCAAAATCTAATAGAGAGATAAAGAAATCATCAGGGAACTTTCCCAGACCATTAAGAGAAATAGAAGATAAAACCTAGCTAACTGACAGAAAAACTGGAAATTCTACATGACTACTAATAACTCAAGAGAATGAAAGAGAACAGGAAAAATGTAAAGGCAAACAGATACTGACATATTACAACAAAGTATCCCATAAGCTCCCTCAAAAATGAAAGTCAAAGTAGCATTTGATACCATTCAATGTAGATAGCAAGCATGAAGTCAAAGATGGAACATTTTAAAAGTTCCAGGAAAAATTTCAGTCAAGATTTCCTGTGGTACATGTCTTTAATCTCAGGAAACAGAGGCAGGCAGATTTCTATGAGTTTGAGGACAATCTGGTCTACACAAAGAGTTTCAGAACAGTCAGAGCTACATAGTAAGAGACTTGTTGGGGGATGAGGGCGGGAGGGATTCTCCATTTCAACTATCAATTAGGTAAGTATGAATGCAGCCCCCCCCCCTTTTTTTTTTAGCTAGGCAAGCTCTAACATTCTTATCAGGAATCTACTAGAAGACTTCTTCAAATATGCATACATACCCAGACAGGAATATACCAACGAAAAATGTAGATGCAATCATAGAGGCTGAGGGTGTAATTAAGCAGCAGAGCCCTTGTCTGGCATGTAGGGGTCCTAAGTTTGATTTCTACCATCACCAAAACTAAAGAGGGAACGGGGAGAGGAGAAAGGCAGAGAGTGGGTGTGGCCACTATAATACTTGAGGCTGCTGAGTGACAAGTATGCCTTAGCCTTAAGGAACCAAAAGGAAAAAAGAGGACTGATAACTTCATAAGCAAAGACCAAGTCAATGGAATGACACTGTTGACAGGTTTTAAGAATATGTTCAAGCCGCCCATGTTAGCATATGCTTTTAATTCCAGCACTTGAAAGGGAAAGGCAAGCAGCTCTCAGGAACTTCTAAGCCAGCCAGGGCTACAGTGAGAGCCTGTCTTTAAAATAAAATAAAATAAAATAAAATATAGAGTATGTTCAACAAAAGCATGTCAAAGTTCCAGATCAAAGAGAATGTATCTATGTACATTTTTGGTCCTTCAGTGACTATCATGTCTTCTATGAGAGCAGCAAGTGCTCTTAATCACTGAGCCATCTTTACTGCCCCTCCCAACTTATATTATTTTAATAACAGCAAAGTTTTTTGATGAAACTACTGTTTTAGGATTTCCAATATTCTAAGGTAGGAGAGATAAAAAAAAAAGTTCAGGAGTTCAAACCATTCATCCTCTCTTCCTCAACCCAAAATTCTATAGACTTCAATCACTAAAGACCTCTAAACATCTGAAAACCCCTGCTCCAAAGCTTTAATTGTCCAGGCTCCACCTCTTGTCTACAATTATTACAGCTTCAAAATGGTCACTGTCTCTCTCCACTCACATTAAGACACAACTTAACCAAGGCACATACTCCCTTAACACTGAGTGGAGGGAGTCCCTTCCTGTCCAACCACATCTATCTATTCACGTCTAATTGTGCCATTCCATCCTTACACCTGTGCTCCCAAAATAATCATGGGTCACATCTGAGTTCTCCCTCCCTCTCCTTCTTCCCCATGCTATCAAGTATGTACGCAAACACCAGCATTATGTCTGTTCATCATCTCACATTAATTTTGTCTCATTCCATGCCCTCATTATCAGAAGCTGAAACACTACTTTGCATAAAGAAACACTTGCTGAATAAAATACCATTCAGATGTCTAATCACCACATCTGTAACTAGGTATTATAAACCTACAGAGGCTAACAGCCACATGTCACCAACACCAGAATGAGACACGAAACCAGTTTATAGTTCTAAGACACACTACAAAAGGCTAAGAAAAACAAACTTCACAAAGTGCCTAACAACCTACAGTGCAATGTGCATGGTTTACAGCTCAGGTACTTTACAAAAGAAGTAAACTGTTTTCTTCAGAGATTTGAAACTAAGCTTTATCATACAAATCAAAAGCAGGTTTCTCTTTATCAATGACATTTTATGTGATACCAGTTTGTAAAAATAAAAAGCAAAATGGCAAAGGAAGAGCCCCAATAATATCCTGCAGTTCCGCTAATGGATCACATTCATGTGATGCTTGCCAAACACAGCCAGTGAGCTAGAAGGTGACAAGTCACACACCACATTCGGAGTCCATCAACCCATTTGCAAACTGGAAGACAGGCCCTGACAACCAAAGGACAAATTTAAAATTTAGAAAAATCAGTTAATACTTTTCATCAATTCAAAAGTTAAATTTTACTTAATATTAGAAAAAAAAAGAGTATTTCATTAGGTTCAATTTGAAGTATTATAAATTGCCTTCTCACTTAGGGACAAGAATTATTAGTGACGTGGATTGCTAAGTCTCCTCAGATCAAAGATGCCCACGGTTGCCTCTGACAACTACACACTCTCATATGTGTGCGTGTGCACATGCACCTATACCCACACCACACCACACAGTCTCTTTATACCTGGACACATCAGCATCAGTTACAGGAAGACCCTTCCACTCATTTAGCCATCATCAGTTATTATTTGTTCCAGCATACCCTAGTTCATCATGCTTCCTAATATATTCTGGAACTACTCTATTTAACATCTATGGAATGTGAGCAGGTGTAGGCATTCTACTGCTGCCACAAAACACCATTACCACTGTTAGGATTCAGGCAGTACCCTGGTCAGTCCAGGGTCCCATGACTGCTGCGTCACTACGTATATACACAGGTGCAAAAGGTCCCTTTAAGAGACCAGCTCTGCCCATTCCTGCTTTCTCTTTCCAGCTCTTCTGAATAGGTAGGCTAATCCTTGCCTCTTTTTCCTCTTCCTCTTTCTCTCTTACCTCCCCCACTCCCTTTATCTCAATAAAACTCCCACATACATAAGCTCTAAGCTCTGCCTGCATGGTGTGTCTGCTCCTCACCTGCTGTGGGCTCTCATGTGCTGTGTGGCCACTTAGCCAGTGGAGGTCTGTCTTCTGCTTTACAACAACCATAAAGCAAGTAGGGGAGGAAAGTTTAGTCAGCTTACACTTCGACATTGCTGTTCACCACTGAAATAAGTCAGGACTGGAACTCAAACAAGGCAGGATCCTGGAAGAATGCTCTTTACTGGTTTGCTTCCCTTGGCTTGCTCAGTCTGCTTTCTTATAGAACCTAGGCTAGGGCTACCAGCCCAGGGATGGCACCACCCACAATGGGCTGGGCCCTCCCCCAGTGATCACTAGGTGAAAAAAAATGGTTTACAGCTGGATCTCCTAGAGGCATTTCCTCAACTGAGGCTCCTTCCCCTCTGATTACTTTAGCTTGTATCATAAATGTGCCATTACAGATGGCCTACATCACATAGGCTAATCTAAACAGAAAAGCATCTTTAAAAAACTTGTTTTTCTGTCCCCCCTTTGTCTCTACAAAACAAATAGGATCTAAAGTAAGCTCTTCTCAATAAAATGACATATGAAGGGCTGCAGCAAATCTCAGCCATTTATACTGCTCAGCTGGAACCTCCAGCTCGCTCCTCCTTGATCATGAAAGCCCCATTCCTCTCTCTCCACACCCCACCCTCTCAGAAAATCTCAGGCAGCTATTTCCTCTCCTGAAGTTGCCAGTAGCCCAAGACCCCGACTAAAGCGGTCAGTTTTTGACCATACTTGGGCACAAACTCAGCATATCACCACCCCCTCACTTACAGGGTATATATGCTCCTTGCTTTAGTTTGGTCATGTGACCTCTCTGGCTCCAATCTCTGGGGCCGGAGAACTCACCGAGGAGTTGTTTTGCTCAAATAAACATGTTCTTTTGCTTTTTCAACTCGGCTTGATCTGGCTTACTGTGTCAGCAGAGAAACCTATTATCACATTACACAGAAAACCTATTAAACATAACATGAGCAAGAAAAAGAGAGATTTAAACAAAACAACAAAAACCCTTTGTTATATTATGTAAGCCCCTGAGATTTGGAGGTTATTTTCATAAGAAAACTCATTAATTTTAAATGGAAAGTTAAACAAAAAAGTTACACTTTCCAAATTAGGTTCTGCCAAGAGAACACACTTTAGTGCAATCTGGAAGGCCAAATCAAAGCCAAGGGCCTTGCAGTACTGCTGATCTTTCTGTAGACACTAACAAACTCCCAAATTCCAGGACTTGATCACTAACCTCAGGATGAGACAGGTTACAGAGTTGGTGTAAAAAGGTGACAAGGACAGCAGACCCCTCCCTGGAATGGCCACCGACTTCCATCCTTCCAAACTGCCAAATATTCCTAAAGCACCTGAGTTCCTGTCCTCAATTCCCTCTTGCTGTGGACACCACAGTTCCTGCACTGAACTGTGACTGGTAAATGGTGCTACCCAGAGGAAACTGGCTCAAAGGCTCAGAACCAGCTTTGGTTTCCTCTCACAATTGAGTTTCACAGCAGTAATGTCTTGCTACCATTTTAGAAAAAGCTCTAGCAGCACATGGCATGCAGCCACAAAGAGTTAAATTATCACCTGTGGATATATTTTTTAAAAAAAATTCTATAGAAAGCAATCTGGTGGGCTGCTGAGCTAGTGGGGAACGGGAATACAAGGACTACGACATCTGATCGGAAGACGGTGGTAGGCTCAAGGAGAATGTCCAGTTTATTTTGTCTTAGAGCATGTACAACCTCTGCAAAACCCGTAGCAGATTTCCTAACCATTAGCAGCACTAAGCTGACATACAAAAAAAAAAAATTACAGACAGAAAGACATTAATATCGTGGAATTACCATATGAATTGAATCCAAAGTCTAAAGGAAAATAGTA